ATTGTTTTTTTCTGTTCTGTAAAGAATGCCATCAGAACTTTGATGAGGAGTGTGTTAAATCTGTATATTTGCTTTGGGTAGTGTGAATATTTTAACAATATTAATTCTGATCCGTAAACACAATATTAATTCTTCCATTTGTTCATGTCTAAATTTCTCTCATCAGTGTTTTATGGTTTTCAAGTGTACACATCTCTCACCTTCTTGGTTAAATTTATTCCTAAGTTTTCATTTTTCTTTGATGCTATTGTAAATGAGATTATTTTCTTGATTTCTTTGTCAGCTAGGTTATTTGTATATAGAAATGTGACTGATTTTTATATGTTGAGTTTATACCTTGCAGCTTAACTGAATTGATTTAGTAGTTCTCACAGTTTTTTGTGGAATCTTTGGAGGTTTTTACATATAGGATCTTGTCATCTGCAAATAGAGATAGTTTTACTTCTTTAATTTAGTTGCCTTTTTTTCTCGTCTAATTGCTCTTCAAGTACTCTGTTGAATAAAAGTGATGAGGCTGGGCATCCCTATCTTGTACTCAATCTTAGTGGAAAAGCTTTTAGTTGTTGCCCACTAACTATGATGTAGACTGGGTTTTTCATAAATGGTCTTTATTACATTGAGGAACTTTCCTTCTACACATAAACTATTAAGAGGTTTTATCAAGAAAGGTTGCTAAACTTTGTTAAATGCTTTTTCTGCATCAATCGAGGTGACCATGTGGTTTTTTCATTTTGTTGATATGATATCTCACATAGATTGATTTACATATGTTAAACCAGCCTTGCATGCCAGGGATAAATCCCACTTAAATATGATGTATAATGTTTTTGATGTGTTGTTGAATTCTATTTGCTAAAATTTTTTTAGGATGTTTGCATCAGTGTTTAATTTTTTGGAGAGCTTGACCTGTAGTTTTTGTTTGTTTTGTGTGTGTGTTTGTGTGTGTGTGTGTGTGTGTGTGTGTTTTGGTTTGGCTCAGGTATTAAGGTAATACTGGCCTGGTAAAATGTGTTTGGAATTATTTCCTCTCGCTCTATTTTTGCCAAGAGTTTAAGAAGTAAAATTCCATGGGATGGGAGTGACTCCGGACATGGGAGTGACATGATAGTGACTCTGGACCCTGTAGTGGTGGGACACAGCAGCATCCCAGTCTCTGTGAGGCCAGGCGCAGCATCAGCAAGGACCCCAGAATGGTGGAGCACTACTGTGGCTTGGGCCGTCGGGGGCAGGGACCAGTGCAGCAACTACTTCTCTCCCTGGGGAGGCAGGTGCCTGGGCAACTCAGATTCTCCAAGGCTAGTCCAGTTCCAAGGAAGCAGAGTTCTACAGTTGTTTGTCCTGAAGGGCAGGGTACCCCAGTTCAGCCAATGCCATTTTCCTGGGATGTGGGTGTGGGTGCCATGTTGGCTCATCCGTGGCAGGTGTGGCTGCTCAGGTCAGCTAAGACACTGATTCCCTGTGAAGCAGGGCAGTGCTTCAGCTCTTGTGCAGTGAGGGGTGTGACTGTTTAGAGTGGCCAAGGCACTGATTCCCTGGAAAGCAGGGCACTAAGTCAGCTCAGGCCCCAAGGGGCAGGGCGCAATGACAGCTGGGAGGGGAGGGGCACAGCAGCGTGGCCCCACAGGGTAGGGTGTATGCTGTGATGTGGACGTGTTTGTTCCCACCAGCACTCATGTTGAAATTTGATTCCAAATGTGGTGGTGTGGGAGGTGGGGCCTAGTGGGAGGTATTTGGGTCACTGGGGCAGATCCTTTATGACTAGATTAATGCCTTTTCATGGGACTGGATTAGTTACCAGGAGTGGATATTCAGAGTGAGTTCAGCTTCCTAGACTCTCGTGTTTCCTCTCTTGCCATGTGAGCCCTTTGCATACACCTGTTTCCCCTTCCACTTTCCCCATGAGATGAAGCAGCACAAGACCCTCACCAGATGTGCTGCCCTATCTCAGACTTTTCAGACACAAGCAGGGTGAGCCAAATAAACCTTTTTTATAAAATAAGTTACCGAGTCTCAGGTATTCTGTTACAGCCATACTAAATAGCCTGAGACAGTGTAACAGCAGCTCAGGGGTGGTGGGCCACTAGGCGGGGGTGATACAGAGCAACAAACCCTGAGGATGGTAGAAGGGTGCGGTGGCTGCTCACCCTGGGCGGGACATGCTCCCGAAGTGGTTCCGGGTCCAGGAGGTCACGTTGCAGCAGCAGCTGGTCCATGGGGGTGGGGCGCAACCTCAGTTCCTTCTCTGAGGGGAGTGCTGGGGCTGCTGGGCCCCTCTTGCTTCATTACCCCTGCAGGGAGACATCCCCTCTGCTTCAGGCTGATCCCTCTGGGGATGGGTGGTGGGGGACAGATGTTTCCTTCTCTCCTTTATGTGACCGTCCTGGTTTTCTGTGCTCTACCGGATTTCTGCTACTCCTTGATGCACTCTGGGCTCTCCTTTAGTGACTTTCATCACAATATAGTTGTTTGCTGCTTTGGCTGTCTTTGTCAGAGGACGGACGCAAGGGGCTATTGATTGGCCCCTTGCTGGTGTCCCTCCCTCTTAAACTTTTCACTGGGTACTCTTTTGAACTATTTTTTCCCCACCATATACATGTATTTTTAAAACATTAATGTGCTAATTTCTATTGAAGCAATGTGGATTTTTCTGAAAGTTTTAATGTTTTAATAAGCTTTTTATTGAAATGTTAATGTACATACAGAAGAGTGCCCAAATCGCAGGTGTGCAGCTAGATGAACTGTAGCACACCAGGCTGCCACACCCTGGACCAAGCAGTAGCCTCGCCCTGTGGCCTCTCCCAGGCACTGCCACCCCAACCCACAAAATAGCTACTTTCCCAGTTCCTGACGTAGATTTGTTCTGCCTGGTTTTGACTTTTATAAAATACAGCACATTCTATTTAGCCTGGCTTCTTTGGTTCAGTATTACAGGACACATCCATGTTCTTGTCTATGGCAGACATTGATTTATTGTCATTGCTGAGTTCCATTATATGACTGTATCACCATTTATCCATTGATGGGTAAAATGATTTCCTGTTTTTGGCCGTTATCCCACAGCCCTTAACACTAACGTCTGGATATGGGACTTGCGGGTATGCAGGGGCACACACACTTCTGCTGGAGGATCCCTGGGTGGGGTGGAGACTCCAGGGCACCTGTGCTCTGCCTCAGTGTGGAGGCTTCTGTGTTGTGTTCTGGGAGCACAGTGGCTTGGCCTCCACCAACAGCACAGCTTAAAGAGTTCCTTCTATTCCATATGCTTGCCGACAATTGGCCTCTTCAGGTTTTTGTTTGTTTGTTTGTTTTTTTAAGGTTTTCAGTGCCTGCCTGGACTTGTGTTTTCATTTAGATTTTGGTTTCTTAGAACTTTTGTTATTCTCTTCACAGCTTAACAATGCATTTGAAAAGATTTGTTTTTATGTGGAGTATTCAGTTTTGTAAGAAGAGGGTTGTTCAAGGCATCAGTCTGCCACTCTGCTAGAAAGAGAAGTCTCCCAGGCATTTGTTTTTATATAAAGTAGTTAATGAAATTTTGAACCGTCTTACATGAATTTTTATTAAAATACACTTCAGGATGTGGTGCCCATTATCCATTCTACTCTTCTGTGAGAAGCAGATTTCTCTGAATTCTTGAATTTGAAAACAATTGGGGTTCCTAAACAGAGAATATGGAATATTATTGGGGATGATGTCTTTAATAATACATTTCAAGATAGCAGAAACTTGTTCCATATAGATGACTTTAATAAAAGCCTAGGGCAAAACTTTCAATTTATTAACAGTATTTATGAGGCAGTTAAGAATCTGGGTCATCTCCATCTCCACTAAAAATACAAAAAATTAGCCAGGCGTGGTGGTGGGCACCTGTAGTCCCAGCTTCTTGGGAGGCTGAGGCAGGAGAATGGTGTGAACCCAGGAGGTGGAGGTTGCAGTAAGCCGAGATCGTGCCCTTGCACTCTATCCTGGGCAACAGAGCGAGACTCTGTCTCAAAAAAAAAAAAAAGAAAAGAAAAAGAATTTGGGTCATCTCAATTAAACATAGAATTTAAGATTACCTTGAAAATTCAGTACAGAGTATTTTGCCTTCAAAATTGTTTTTTTGAGTCTCCCTTCTTTCAGCCAGCCTTCCATCAGAAATAGAATAAAGTTAAACTTCTTAATTGGAATCAGGAATCAGGACTCTTTGGCTGCCGATTGAAGGAAGAACTGTCCTTAAATCCACAGTGGGCCGGGCATGGTGGCTTATGCCTATAATCCTAGCACTTTGGGAGGCCAAGGCAGGTGGATCACCTGAGGTCAGGAGTTCAAGACCAGCATGACCAACATGGTGAAACCCCATCTCTACTGAAAATACAAAAATTAGCTGGGTGTGGTTGTGTGCGCCTGTAGTCCCAGATACTTGGGAGGCTGAGACAGGAGAATTGCTTGAACCCAGGAGGTGGAGGTTGCGTGAGCCGGCATCTTGCCACTGCACTCTAGCCTGGGCAACAGGGCGAGACTCCATCTCAAAAAAAAAAGGTAAATCCAGAGTGGTTGATAGTCAAAATGAAAAGCTAGATTATTTTTGTTAGGCTGGGAAATAAGCACCTCAGTGGCCCAAAAATAAGGCCTGAAATTTCCATTAAAAGAAACTGTGATCTATTCATCTGTTCTGTTGAGATCCCATAGTTCCATACCATAGAAATGGGCACAGAGGGCTTTGAGAGGAGAGTTGTAAGTGTAAGCTCTCTGTTCCTCTGTATACTGAGAATTGTGGGTGTCCACTGAGGCAGTTCATATTTGGCGGATGATGAAGTCCTGATTTCTCAGGGCCAGTGGACTCTGGTGTTACTGATCTTGTGGAAAAGTTAACCCAATGAGAAGATTGTATGCAGAAGTTTTAAATGCACATTGATCATAATTTGAATATGTCACAGTCTTTATTTTTCTTTTCAGCCAATCCTGAGGCAAAAGAAACATTTTAATTCACTGCACATTCCAAAAGCCTTGCAGAAGGCCCTGCCATTTAAGAACAAGCCCAAGACCCAAGCAAAGGCAAGCAAGGTGCCAAAGGACAGGCGGAGACCGGCCGTCATACGCGAGCCTCATGAAAGAAAGGTACTGTCGCCCATGCCATACTGCACGCTGCATTTAGATAGGAAAGAATGGTCTCCGCAGCATACTTCCTGTTTCTACTGCAGTCTCAGTTATTCAGGGCACTGGAACTAAAGTCAGAGGAAGAGCCAGAGTCCATTTCCCTTCCTTTGCCTTGTCCTGCTCTGCCCTGTGCTTTTGATGGGGATAACAGGCACATGGCTGGGGAACTCCTCTGTCTTGGTTAGCTGCACACAGTGTCCACAGAATGATGAACACAGGTGGTAAAGGTAAAATGCGATCACACCTGTGTCTCCATACCAACAATGACTTCCCATCGCAGGATGCATTTTCATGCAGTTAGCATTCATTTGGATCGTGGGTTGCCTCTAGTCTTAGTGCTTAGGATGCAAGTGTGTCAGGTGGCTGAGAGCATTCTGATACTCACTGGCTTTTGTCGTTGTCAGATCCTCGCGCTGCTGGATGCTCTGAGTACGGTGCACAGTCAGAAGATGAAGAAGGCCAAGGAGCAGCGGCACCTGCACAATAAGGAGCACTTCAGAGCCAAACAGAAGGAGGAGGAGGAGAAGCTGAAGCGGCAGAAGGACCTCAGGAAGAAGCTCTTCCGAATTCAGGGGCAGAAGGAAAGAAGAAACCAGAAGTCCAGTTTGAAGGGGGCTGAGGGCCAGTTGCAGTGAGCCTTTGGACTGGAGGAACTGTCCCTGGATCTGCGGAGGTGGATGTTTCAAACATCACAGTTTGAATGCCTGTGAATGACAAGTCAGTGGGCAAGAGCCCAAGAGATGTCTCTACCCAAACTGTGCCTGCAAGAGGAGGAATGGAGAAGCCTGGACTGCTGGGACTGGGTTCGTTCTCACCAGGGGGGGCTGTCGAGATTTAAAGTGATGTAAGCTGTGGTTATGTGGATTCTCTTACTTTCCTCTGCCTGCCTCAGTTTAATTATTTTGTCCTACAAAAATATCATTAAAATATTTTTTGTTAGTTTTGGCTTAGTAGTTTTCATTAGGGATGAATGCCTGACAATCCTTTGTGGATAATTATTTATGCTACCGCCTTCGTGAGGAGCCTTCCAAAATAGAAATATTCACTTGAATCCTCAGCTCCCATGGAAAATTTTAGAGAAGGGTGTGTAGTGTTCTTGTTGTGTTTTTAGTTTGAGTGACACGCAAACCTAGATGGTACAGCCTACTGTGCATCTGGGCTCTATGGGCTCCTTTGATCACTGGCCCTTGTGGACATTTTCTATCTTATTTCATATGTTCTGCACATTAGTATAGTGACAAGGTAACAGTAAGTACCTTTTTAAAGCTTTAGACTTAGGAGATTGTTGTCTCAGGTGTAGAGACCAAGGAAATCGTATGTATCAGTGAGATAGGCTTCCCGTATTATGCTCATGCGTTATACCTGCCTAGCTACATTGCCTTTTTTAAAATTAAACATTATATTGATGTAATCATACTATTACTTAGGCGATGTATGTATTTTATGATTGTATGTTAATATAGTTATGGGGAATCTAATCTTATACGATGTAATCATAGATTCACATATAGTTGTATATTTTGCCCAATTTCTCTCAGTGATAACGTTTCACACATATCACAATCAGGATGTTGACATCAAAACAGCCCACTGATTTTATTCACATTTCCCCAGCTTTACTTTCCCCAATGTATACTCTTCCATATGTGCATGTGTGTGTAGAAATATGGAACGCAGCTGGGCACAGTGACTCACGCCAGTAATCTCAGCACTTCGGGATGCTAAGGCAGGAGGATCACTTGAGCCCAGGAATTTGAGACCAACTTGGGCAACATGGCAAAAACCTCATCTCTACAAAAAATACAAAAATTCGCCAGGTGTGGTGGTGCACACCTGTGGTTCCAGGAGCTTGGGAGGCTGAGGTAGGAGGATCACTTGAGCTCGGGAGGTCAAGGCTGCGGTGAGCCATGATAGCACCACTGCACTCCAGCCTGGGTGACAGAGCAAGACCCTGTTTCAAAAAAAAAAAAAAAAAAAAAAATTTATATATATGTAGAACACTTCATGAATTTGTGTGTCATCTGTGCATGCTGACCTCTGTGTTGTGCCAGTTGTAGTATGTGTGCTGCTGACATGGGTACTGCATTGCCTTTACAGCATCACAGGGGCCAAAGAGGGTCAGCAGGATTGTGAGCAGTTGGCCTAGTCTGAGAGGCTGTCTAAAAGCCGAAAGCTGTCAATAGACAGGTGCTCAGCTTTGTGTCTCCATAAGAAGGGAAGGGGATGTGAGAATCCCATCAGGGCTGGGTCTATCTGGGAAGTGACAGTTGGAACACACCCAGACCAGACCTTTCTGAGCAACTCCAGGTGTAAATTTTCCTCTATTCCTCAAGAGCTATTAGGAATTTCATCATTCAGTATGCTGATAGGCCTGGGGACTGACACATAGTAAGCCCATAACAATTATAATTTAAAACCAATTTGTTATATAGCATAATTGATATTTTAAAATGCAAAACTGTAATTCAACTAAAATATACAAGGCACTCTAAGTCATACCATGTTTTACATTTAAGTAGCTTACAAGGTGATCAGCAAGTGTCTTATACAACAAGCAAATTTGTTCAAAGAGAAGCCTTGCAAATAAGTATTTATAATTGTACAATTTTATATTTTAGCCAAAAGAGTGAAATCCTTTAGCAATGGGGGAAATAAAAGAATGTTTAATTACAGTTGCAGATAATTGCCTTTTCCAAAGACAATGTATGTAGGCAGAAGTCATACCTGTTAATATTAAAAATCTTGGTTTATCATATTTGGAGAACAAGGGAAATAAAAAGTTTGTATATCAAGATTATTTAAAACTAAAGTTAAGGAATCTCTAATGTCTGAAAGAAACAATAAATAGCATTTTCCATGTAGAGTTTTTATTGGTGAAGGTGTCACCTGGCCAGGTTAGTAAATGCATCAGTTTACCAGTCACGCATCAGTTAAAGATGGGGATATATTCTGAGAAATGTATCATCAGGCAATTCTGTTATTGTGTAAACATCATAGAGCAAACCTAGATGGTACAGCCTGCTGTGCACCTGGGCTCTATGTTATGGTCTGTTGCTCCTAGCCTGCAAACCTAGATGGTACATCCTGCTGTGCACCTGGGCTCTATGTTATGGTCTGTTGCTCCTAGCCTACAAACCTGGACAGCATGTGACTGTACTGACTACTGTAGGCAGTTGTAACACAGTGGTAAACATTTATGTGTCGAAACATAGAAAAGGCGTAGCAAAAATACAGTCTTGTGGAACCACCACCATATATGTGGTCCGTCCTTGACTGAACATCATGCAGCATGTGGCTGTATGTATACACACAGTTTTTGCTGTGAGTTTGCATCCATCTCATAGGAAGACATATATCAAAATAAGGACCAGACTGGAGAGTGTGTAAATTATTTTTCAATACTAATGGCGTATTCATTTGATATTGTCAGCAAGTATGTTGCAAAAATAAATTCCACCAGAATGTGAGTTCCCTGAGAGCAGTAACTGGGTTGTTCACCTTGCTGGCACTTGGAGTAGAGCCACTGAGCTTAACACTGCATAAAATTGCTTGGAAGAAAGAAGGGAGGGCATTCCAGGTAACTGAAGCATTGCTATGCAAAGTAAGCATTTGCCCTCTAAAATATTTTAACAATTTTTATAGAAACCTTTCTCAATTGCATTAAACTTTGTAAATTGTAAAAATTATTCTTTGTTATATCTTTCTATCTTTTTACTGTGCACAAGCAGCCGTAGGTGCTGGGTATGTTTTGAAAACGTTGAATCTATAGTGTGCATATCATTCCATGCCATTAAATATTCTTATTTAATCATAGATGTGTTCAGGTGTGTTTGGTTTCCTATTCATGGATGTACTAGATTGTTTCTTTTTTTTTTAACAAAACCTGTGAACTTGCTTTAAGTATTATCATTTGGTGACATGCTCACCATTTCAGAAATAAATGAGCAAAGAGGAAAGCCACCAGGTCTGATTCAGCTCTCTGGAGGCTTCAGAGCTTACCCCGCTGACGGGAAAAGAGCATCGATTTAATTGCCCTTGGTAGTGACTTCTATTATCTAATATTTTGCCAGACTTAATGTATTTCTTAAAGTCATTATTCAGAATCTTCAGCAAGGAGATTGTATTTTATTTGTTTCTCCTTCGTTTTACCTAGTTTATTTCATGGTTTCAAAGTATTGTACATTTTTGTAATCCTTTAACAAGACAAAAGGTTGAGATGTTGGACATTTAAATGCCAAAGGTGTTTTATTATGAGACTTAGCATTTCATATTTGGGGATGGTACCTTATTATTGAAAATCAGATAAACTTTGGTTGAGTGGGTATTTGGAGGAATCTTTTAAATCTTTTCTTAAGCAAAGTTTGGACATTCTAAAATAAGGTTGCCAACTGGCATGTAGAGAGGGAAGGATGTGTCATACATTTAGACCAGGTGGCCTGTCCTGTAACTTTTTTGGGGGGAGGGGTGGGCTTGATTTTTGTGTGTTTTGGTTTTTTCCAATTTTTGTTTTGTGATAAAATATGCATAATAAAACTTATCATTTTAACAGTTTTTAATTGTATGAATCAGTGGCATTAATTACCTTCACAGTGCTGTTGCAGCCATCTTCAGAGCCTTTCCATCATCCCAAACTGAAACTTTGTACCCATTAAACAATATCTCCTCATTCCCTTCTTCCCCCAGCCCCTGCAACCACCATTCTGTCTCTGAGTGACTACTCTAGATACTTTTGCAAATGGAATCATACAATATTTGTCTTTTTGTGTCTTGTTTATTTCATTTAGCATACTGTCTTCAAGGTGTGTCCAGTTACAGCATGTGTCAGAATTTCCTTCCTTTTTAAGGCTGAATAATATTCCCAGTGAATGTCTTTACTATATGTTGCTTATCCATTCATCTGCTAATGGACGTTTGGGCTGTTGGGAATAATGTTGCTGTGAACATTGGTGTGTAAATATCTGTGAATCTCTGCTTTCAGTTCTGTGTGTAAAAGTGGAATTGTTGGGTCAAATGTCATTCTGTGTTTAATTGTGTGAGGAACTGCCACACTGTATCCACAGCTGCTGCACATCTTACATTCCTTCTAGCGGTATGTACAAGGGTTTCAATTTCTTCACAGCCTGAACCACCCTCATTATTCTGTTTTTTTCTTGGTTGCTTGGTTGATAGGTTTCTTAAAAAACTGGTATCCTAGTGTGAAGTTACATCTCGTTGTGATCTGCATGTTGGTAATGACTAGTGACGTTGAGCATCTTTCTGTGTGCTTATTGCCTATCTATAGACCTTCTTTGGAGAAATGCCTATTCAAGTCCTTTGAATCAGGTTTTTTGTTGTTGTTGGATTGTAGAAGTTATTTTTATATTCTGGATATTAAACCCTTATCAGATAAACCACAAACATTTTCTCATTCTTTGGGGTGTCTTTTCACTCTGATAGTGTCCTTTGATATGCAAAGGTTTTTTAATTTTGATGAAGTCCAATTTATTTTTTCTTTTGTTGCCTGTGCTTTTAGTGTCATAGCCAAGAAATTACTAACTTATTGTTTAGTTTTTTAAAAGCATTTATGCGATTATTTGACTGATACCTGTCTCTAATGATTGACGGCACTTCTTGAGGGTGACTTTTAAACATGCAAATTTGATGTCACTTTCAGAGGCTCCTTCCATGGCTTCCCTTTACTTCTAGGCCGCAGCCCTTGTCTGGCCTCGCAGCTGCTCTGGCCCCTGCCCTCCTCTAGGGCCTCTCTTCTGCTGCCTCCAGCTCTGGGCACAGTGGCCTTTCATTCCATTCCTCGGTGCACTTGCCTGGGGGCCTCAGCACATGCAGTTCCCTCTGCCTGGAATGCGGCAGCTCCTAAGTCCCCCTCCCGGCCTCCACCTCCTCGCTGCTCCTTCTGACGCTGGCCCTGAGACCACTGGTCGGTGCGGCCTTCCCTGGAC